AAAAAAGAAATAAAGAAGTAAAAGGAAGAAAAAGACCCTTCATTTGAAGTCTTGCAATGAATGAACTCCAGAAAGTTTGCAACTATGGCATAATAGTTAGACCATTTTCACCTTTTTCTCAAATAGAATTGAGCAATGCCATGAGTTCCACAGAGTAAACTTAGCTTCATAATGGATATGTACATGTTGAACAAGGTTTTGGAATGTTTAAAGAATGGAAGAGAAAGCTGTTCATGTCAAACAACTAAGTTCTTGATTATTGAGTGCTCTTGAGATTTTTGGTTAAGCAACCGAATGAATTTCTTATTATGATATCTATAATATAAGCCACTATCCATACATAATTGTTACACACAATCTATGTTCAAGATTACTGTAAGTCCCTTGTTGGATTGCAAGAAAGTTGATCTGGTGAGACCAGCAATTTCTCTACCAAGGTAATTTACATTCAATCGTTCCAAAAGAAGGTAATATTCTCTTGGAGCTAAGAATCTACAAGTGGAAAAAACTCTTTATATTGAAAATTACACGAAGACCTTATATATCACGCAAAAGATCTTCCTGTCAGTGTCACTTTTGAGTATCTGGATGACTGTCCACTTGAGTGGAGACGTGTAAAGGGATCGGTCTTAGAAATCTATGGCATCAACTGGAAGTGAAGTGGCCCTGTGAAGTGAGTGGGGGAGCAATGCTCCTGTATAGAAACTCTGGGCAGTGGCCATGTGCTCTGGGCTGCAGGAACCGTATGCAAGTGGATATCTCCTAACCTTAGAATTAGAACATTCGTTCTCGATTTCTATGGGAAAATATGAAGAAAAATGCTTGCCTGAGTTAAATGATCTTAGTAGAAGCTCATCCTTCTCTATAGATGGAGTTGAACCTGACGATACCTTATCCTTTCTAGGGATTTTGTTGCTGGACCTTTGACGAGAATATTTTGAATCAACTCCTAACCGCTGATCTTTTAGGCCCCTCAATTGCATTTGGTACTTTGCCTTGAGCCACCTCAACTCTCGCCTTATCTCATTCTCATAATCTTCTACTGGAGTTCTAGCTCCTGAAGATTTTGAGGAGGGAGAGTCTTGTAGTATTACACGAGACTTGTCATCTGTGTCAACGCTCGTAAGTTTCTCCTCACCACCATCAATGGATTCATCCACCAATTTGTCTTTAACATCAGAGTGACAGTCAACAGAGCCTCGTGCTCGTGATTTTGTTTTGTCATGTTGTGCCCAAATATCAGTATAATGTACACCATCAGATTCCCAGGTGCCCTCAGGAGCGGAGTCAGTGATACATTGCTCAGAGCGATCCAGATGGTACATTATCTCCTCAAAACGGCCATGCATAGCACCACATCCATGCTTGGAACAATGGAGCACTTGCAAGTTCCTAGGACCATCCGACGGTAGGTAGTTCACAAGAGAACCATTAGAAGCACAGTTGTGACAGCCACGGTTCGTGTGGTTGAGGCTTTCCTCTATCCCAAACCCCTTCTTCCACTCAGGTACTAAGGAAGCAATTTCTCCATCTATCATGTCTGCTATCTTGGTAACGTCTTGGTCTGTAATATCTAACTCGGCCACCATTTCAGTAGCAACACTTAGTGCTGTGTCATTCTCAACATCAAAGGGAAAATAAATGTTGCGCACACGACCTGTAAATGAAAGTGCAGAGCAGTTTAGTTTACACCAAGACTACTTAACAGTACTAGATATGAAGCACCAATAACACAAAACCTTCTTTATCCGCAATCCTGAGTCGTAAAAAGATGCCATCATCTTCTCTCCTCCTTCCCTTAATGCTGATTTCAGCATTTTCCATGTCATCATCTTCGGGATCTGTGAATAGATCAATTTCATTTGCCTCATACTCAAGTTGTTGATAGTACGAATCAGTCTCTGGTTCATATCCAAGATAACCATTTACTAGAGAGTTGTTAGTATCACATATGCTCAAGAGACGCTGCCCTAATATAGGGTCTAACTCGTCAGACTCTTGCAAGTAATTTAGTGTCTCTGAGTCTGATACGTAATCATCAATTTGGAGAAAAGGGTCATCAAGAAGCTCCCTTGCGGATAGTCTGTGAGATACCGTTGCCAAGCATTTCTCAACAAAACGTCGAACCTCCGGATCCTCCACTTTGTAAAGGGCATCTGGCTTTTTTCCCTACACAACAAATCTATGTTGATGGATATGAATTCAAAGAGAAAAATCAAAATCAAAAAGTTTCAAGATTTTAGGTTCTTACAGAAGTCACTTTTTTGTAGATCTGAGCAGGGTGAGTGCACTCACTATATGGATAATCAAAGGTCACCATCTCTAAAATACACATTCCAAATGAATAAATGTCCACTAATTCATTGTACTCCTCCGCATAAACCTCCGGAGCCATGAACTCTGGTGTTCCTGGTAGGACAAACAAGAAGCAACAAAACATTGTAGGACTAAAACTGCAAAAGCTCTCATCTTTAAAATTTTCCAGAAGAATTTAAGCTGGATAGAATATGAATATGCACTATTACATCTCAAACACATCATCGATTTCATTTACTCTTCAAGATTTTTGTCGGGCATGATAGTATTAGAATTACCATTTTCAGAAGAATTTAAGCTGGAAATAATACAAAACATAGACAAGAGATCTCATTCACATCATGAGTTCCCATTATTCTTCAACATTTTCGTGGAAAATAAATAGCATTAGGATTACCTACACAACGTTCGGCATGGGACTTGCGCAGGATGGCGGCAAGGCCAAGATCACCAATCTTGACTTCCCCTTGGTTTCCGTTGATGAAAATGTTATCACACTTGAGGTCTCTGTGTATAACAGGAGGGTCGTGGCTATGCAGGTAATGAAGCCCTCTCAAAATCTGTCGACACCAACGCTTTACTGCTCTAATGTTAACCCTCTTGTGTTTTAGCCTGTACCTGTCCAAGATTAATAAATAGTTCCACAATACATCACAACAAATTACAACTTATAGATATTACCATTGATCAGATAATCTCAACAAACCAAATATGATTTCTACTTACTGTCTAAGAGTGCCAGAGGTGAACATCTCAGTGACAAAGTTAATGTTTCTATTGGAAACATCAACCCAAGAAGTGTAAAATTTCATGATGTTTTTATGCTTCAGTGTCTTGAGCAAATGAATTTCACAATAAAGCCTCTCAAGATCTTCTGGACTTTGCATAAAGTCATAAAGCTTCACCTGATTCCATGCTACTTCAATCCCTTCATACTCATCAAAAGCCTTATAACTGCACCAAAATTAGCCCAAATTAGAACTAAAAAATCAAGAAAGGAAATTTAAGCATTAGATATATATATATAATGCCTGGTTCTAAAGAACCCAATTTTCAAGATACCATATTCATGACTGTAAAAGATTCAATTTTGCAGAAAGTAAACCAAGAAAGAGAGGCACATACACTGTCTTTGAAGCCCCTTTACCAAGAATTTCATTGTACTGATTTCAGAAAACAAATATGAAGCAAATGAGAATTCAATACAATGGAAAAAAGAGAGTAAAATAAACTATGAAAAGGGGCTCAAATGCAACAAATTTAGAATAGGAATGGAAACAAGAACATACCCTTCCATATCTTCCAGTAGGATCAACTTCAACAAAATCAGAATCATCTGATTCAAAGTCAATGACACCATTCATTCCTTGTATTTTTTATTTTTATTTTTTTTGGGGTGTTAGGATAATCTGCTCAGTCTATCTTGTTTCTTTGTTTCCTATGAATTATGGGGAGGAGAGTGGAGAGAGAGAAAGGGAGATGAATTGGCACTCAATCAAGATTAATACTAGAAGAAAATCTGGGGACTATGTTGTTGTGTTAAAAAGTTACTTATCTTATTTGTTGAAAAAGAAAAAAAGAGAAAAAAAAAAAAAAAAAAAGGGAGAGGCATAGGTTAGTCCATTGAAAAGACAAAAACCTTTTAATTTTAATATTATTTGTGTAACAACTCATAGACAGCCAACATGGCAAAGATTTCTCAAGGCTATGAAGTAAATGAAAGAGGCATATCATGAAAAAGCACCTTTATTTTAAGCCTGCTTTTCTTTCTATATCATCACGAGCTGTAAATCCACACCCCCTATGCACCCACCTTGTCCCCTTTGCTCTTCTCCGTACACTATATGTTTTTTCTTCTTCAAGAAACAAACTTACACACTTTCGCTTTTACTTTATTTTAATTTACTTTATACCGTATTTTAAGGCTGCGTACAATAGATCTTTGTGAATTTATACTTTTTATTTTACTAATATTCAATATTAAGGGAGGAAGAACTTGTTATATGTCTTTTTAGTAGGATTAGACAGCTTGACATTACAAAATAAGGACCTTAGGGTGTATTTTTGGTAAAAAAGAAAATGACTTTCATAAAGATATTTATCGTGAGAAAGTCATTTTATAATATTGATGTGACGAAAGTCATTTTCCATAGGAAAAGGAAAATGACTTTTTTTTACTTATGGACGGAAGTTATTTCTTTGTAGCTATCTTAACTTTTAGTTTCATATTACTTGATTCAACTAACACTTAGACGTTATTATTAATATCTAGTACTGAATAGTTTGATTAAAACATCTAAATTACATGTTGAAATCATTATAAATCTTTAATATATATTTTTCTAGAAAAAATTTCACTCACTCACAAAAGACTAGAACATATTTTCTAGAAAAATAACACACACTTGTCTCTCTCTCTCTCCACTGATACATTTGCACTAAAATTTTAGGTTACAAGTCCTCAGTACATATTGCAACCATAAATGTCCGAGTAAGGAGAGGGAAGACCAATATTTTGCCTTTATCTTGAATATATATTTAATTGCTAAAGGTGCATTTCTTTGAATTGCCTAGAAACTACACTTGAGATTGTGAAAACAAAGGTACAAAAATTTACTCTTTGTGAATTTTATATCCTCATGTATATATATACATATGTATGCTTTCTGTTGTTGTGAATTATAACATCATGAAAATCCTTTATAACATTTTTTAAAAATAATTCATATAGCTCTGGTATGTATTAAAAATAATTCATTCATTTTTATATATCTTGCCTTAAAAACCCAATCATATAACGAAAAAAATACATTTTACTGTGTGGATATGTCCAAGGGCAGTAGGGCAATTTGCGTCCACAGGCACTGACAATCTTGCAACAGCTTGCAAAACAGGGACCAAACAAGTGGAGTATATTATATTTAAATATACAACTTTTGATTTTTTTTTTTCGTTTTTTATTTGGGTATTTTTACAAGTGTGTGTGTGTGTGTAGGGTATAAGTACACTTTGTACTCCTGTGGAATAAAGGAAGATAAAGTGCGTCATGAATATTTCTTGATTGGAAAACATGGCTCATTGACTCCTTGGTCACATTGTGAGTTGTCACTAGTGATGTGCATACGTATTTTTATCCCTAATCGGATAACTAGTACTGCCAATATCTAAAAGATATATGAATTAATGAATATTTAAATATAAGCACATTACAAATTCTTTTTTTGTTTATTTTATGTAATTATAGTTCACTTTTCGGGAATTAAACAAAAATGATTTATGGCTCAGAGTTTCAAATATGTCTAATAAAACATTGGAACTTATACTTTATTATGTAACACAAATTTACATGTGTAATGGACCACCTTCCTTTTTACTATCAGTTCGTGCAAGACACAAATTGTCACAAGTCAGCACCGGTACATAATCAGCACACATTGCAAAACACCAACGACCATGCCCATCGCAACTGCACCGTTTATTTTTGGCAAAATACATAAAGACGCCGTTAAATATATTCAGAAAATAGGTTTGAACACTTAAATTAAATGGATGACTTTTTATCCTCCTAAACACATTGTGAATGAATATTGTTCCACCCTTCATAATACCAGACCAGTTAAAGAGTAACGAGTGTGAGTCACGCTCTTTATGGTGATGCCACGTCATTGATGAAGTTTCCCATTTTAATGACCTAGTCCATCACTAATAAACCCATCCGATTAAAATACCCGACACTTTGTTTAATTTTTACCCTACTTTTCTAACCCCGACCTCATTTCTTTCTAAACACAACGAAAATGATCTGATGAACTCAAAACCTAGTGTAGAATTTGTTCCAAATCTCGTCGATTAAAGTGTAGATACTGAAGATTCTTGGCTTATCTTGTAGGATCATCATCTTTCATGCAAAGTCTAACCAAATTAGTTGACCGCATTATGTGCAAAACAAAAAATCAGAGAAAATCCCTCAAATAAGAAGAAATTCGAATCACTCAAAATAAGCCTTAAAATTAGATGAACCAAAAGATTATAGAGAAGAATAAGGTTTTGATTCAAATAAAAGGATTTGATTTTGTTCGAAATTTCATATCTTGGCCAGAAATTGCGACTAATTGAAGGAGAAAGAGATTGGGGTTCTTGAAAAAGAGAAGAAAAATTGGATCGGGTTATTCAATTTTACCGTTGGGGTCTCTTTATAATGTAAACATAATTTTTAAACAATTTTTCTTTTTTTTTTAATTCATTTTATTAATTTTAGTGTAAAACGCTCATAAATGATATGATGCCATGCGTTGAGTCTGGTATCATGAAAGGTGGAACAAAATTCACTCACAATGTGTTTAAGGAGGTAAAAAATTACCTGTTTAGTTTAAGCGTTCAAACCTATTTTTTGGATAAGTTTAATAGGGTCTTTATGTATTTTACCTTTATTTTTTGTTCATTCAGTGTCCTGTATCCACTTAAGTAGATTAATTTGGATTTTCACAGATAAATTTCACTTTAAAGGGTAAAGCGCTACCCATTGAAGGTGATTTCATTCTTGAAACATCGCAATTGCATAATTATTCATTAGTAACGGATTCGAGATTTTAAGTTAGTAGGTGTATATTATCATCATATCTAGTACTCTCTTTGTCTCAACTTATGTTGTGCACTTTGATCGGACATGAAGTTTAAGAAAAAATACTTATCTGCATTTGGTGTTTACATCAAATCAAATAATTTAATTTTTTTTTGGAGCCCTAGGAAAACCGCAGCCGCTACAGCCTCTGCCACAGCTTCTGCCCTTCGGGTGAGCACTCTGTGGTGAGCACTCTGTGCGCACTGGGTAAACCCCCCACTGTGTAATAACCTGCAAACCACACAGGGGATGTAAACCGCACTAGGCAAGCCCCGTGCGACAGGCTCAGACCCAGAGGGCATTGAGGGGAGATCGAACCCGCGTCGCCCGTGTGGACAACTCCCTCCAAACCCAACTGGGCCGTCCCTTCGGGACAACAATTTAATATTAGTAATTAGAAAATCAGTTGAAACTGCATATCGGTTAATCGCAAATGACAAATATATAATACAGTCAAATCTCTCTATAACAGCCTCGTTTGTTCCGAATATTTTTGGATGTTGTAGCGAAGTGTTGTTATAGAGAACATATATTATAACATAACATGAAAATTGGTTCCGGAAAAACTTGACTTTTATAGTGAAGTATTGTTATATAGGGTTATTGTTATATAGTGATCTGACTGTATATCAAAAATACTTTATCTTACATTCATTATATATCTTGGTATCAATACTATGCGCGATAAGTTATTATGCAACTTTAAGAGTGGGTGTCCACTAAGTAATTCTCCAAATTTATATTACCAATAATATCAACAACCATTTTTTAATCTATAAAGCTTCCACTATCTTAAATTAAGGTCCAAAAGGCTAAAGGCTTGGGTTATCAAATTTTATAGCGTATATTACCAATCAATTGGAAGCTTCTGATATGTAGTTGCGGTCAAGGGGAAAAGACAACTGAAATGTAAGTCAAAAGGGAGGGGTTATATATAAGAAGAATTATTTAAATATAGCTACACCAACCGTGCTTAAAATTCTTTGAAATGGTGGTAATACTCGCTGACTTTAAGACTTTAATTTTGTAGCCCCGCTGTTTGATTGCTAAATTTCCTTTACCTACTACAAGGGGAACCCAAAGGAGACGCAAGAGTAAAAATGACAATAAATGTCTACTTAGTAACAAAGGCGGATCCAAGATTTAAATTTTAAGGGTTTGAATTTAAAATTCTATTACATTTTATCTAATTTAATTGGTTCAGAATATATTATTTGTACGTATACAATGAATTTCTAACAGATGTAGGGTGTGAGCCAAAATTACGAGTTCATATGAGCCCATAATTTCTATTTTAAATATGCTCCTGCTTAGAAGAATAGGCCTACCTTTATCTTATGCTTGTATAAGGAACTTATTCTACATATTAATATTACGAATATTGTGCACTATCAGGACATTAAAAAGTCAATTACTGGTAACATTATATATGAGTGTCAATTGGTAACGTTGAAAAGATGATAAATAACATATTAATTTCCTTATGATCATGAAGACCTTAATTAGTTTTATTATTGTTCCGAAGGTGTTGCTCTGAACATCACATCTTTGATCCAATTAATTTAATCAATCTTGGAAAATTCGTCTCTTTTACAGATTCTGCTTGTTTCACTTCAATTTCTTCCCAATTCGTGTTGTTGATATTTTTTTTTAAATTTTTTATTACATGAGGTAGGAGAATGCGTGAGAAGGAGAATGAAGACTATTAGAATTGAAATCACATTTGTTGTGTGAGGCAAAACTCCAATTATCGATAAACTATCAGAATTAATTAGTCAATTCGTGTTGTTTAGTTCGCACATCTGAAACTAAAAGAAAGCGATAGAGAAAAAGAAAAAGGTAACTTAAATTCAAATTTTGATCTTTAATTTCATATGACTCATATTAAATAAAAAATTAAACATTTTTCACAAGTAAACGAACAACTGCTTCTCATTTTACTCTCCTTAAATCTAACATAGGTGATAATAGGTGAATTTGACTATAATCACACCTTAAATAATCACCTTCTTGTGTAGTTTTAATGCTAAAAGTGATGACAAAATGCTCTTATTAGTGCTTTTCATGATTTGCAGGTGATATATGTATAAGGAAGGCTAAGGAGCAGTTTTGGAGTTAAAAGTGATGAAAAAGAGGCCAACTGTGAAATTTCCCAAGTGACCCATGC